CTCATCTCTCTATAGTTGTTCCTGGCTACTTTAGGAAACAAAATACTCAGATGCTTTTTGTCTTATCCAGAAAAAAAATGTATTACCATTGCCCCAAAAGCCTATACATACTTTCTCTGAACCAGTGCATAGATCTGAACTCCCGTTGAAGACATCCTATTCAAATAGACCTGTGAGTGAGTGAGCATTTAGCAGTAAAGCATTGATATTTTTCTGGTACCGTTACTTTCTTTAATTAAGGTGTCCAACAATGTTTTTAAAATGCAGAAAGGAAAATAAATAAAAAAATAAATAAATAAATAAATAAAGGCAATATCTGAAAACTGGAATGAAACAATTACAGACACAAATGCACTACACTGGATAGTTACAGAAAAGTCATGCGATCAGATTATTACTAATAAAATTTAATTAAATTAGAGAGAGATTTTCCCAGACTTTCCCTCCAAAACAGAGAAAACTTTACAAGTATTATAGAAAAGTAATCAAGATCCATTATGCTTAGAAATACTGAAACTTTAGCAGCCCAGACATACCTATCTACAAGTGAAGGATTTAGCTACTGCCCATGCATATTAAGGAGTATAAACTTTGAAGTAAATATTGCAATAAAGCAGGTAATATCACTCACCAGCTGAAAAACTTTTAAAGATATTTTTTTATCTGCTTTATTTATTTGCTTCAATAGACTAATGTTAAAAAGTTTTTCTCTCCACCTCAATGATTTTAGGATACGTAAACCAGTCAAAAATTTCTAAAACTAATCTAGTTTTACATTATGATTGTATGGAGGAAGCAAAAGATTTATTTAGAGGCTTATTTTAGAGAAAGTACACTCAAACATCACATCACAGAAGTTATCAAAGCACTAGCATATACAGTGAAAAATATTTTAATTTAATTTGAGAAGCCTTAATTATGTTCCCTCTCCAACCTCTTCCCCAAAGACATCACAAAGTGGGTTATTATTATTGTTTATCTTCTGTTTATGTTTTAGAGAACTTTAAAGGCTAAAGCATTTAAACCTCTAGTTAAATGTGCTCTTTTCTCATAAATAATTTAATTCAGATCAACACATTTATAAGCACTCCAAGTGAGGAGAATACTTATATATGTATTTTTATCATGCTTAAGCATATGCTGACTCATAAATTGGATAAGCCTGAAAGTTTTTTTTTAGCTACTAGATTTATTCAAACTCTTCTACTTAAAGGAAACCCTTAGCCTCTACCCTGTTTTATGCCTTGAACTGATGTGCAGACATCTCTCCCTTTTATTGTCATATCTTTGCTTCCTTTGACAACACAGTTAAAAATGAAGAGCTTGTCAAGTCCAAATAAGAGTTTATGCAAGCTATGTGTCTATTCTATGTGCTGAGAAATCAGAATAAAACCAAAGCAGACTCTTTTTCTCCAGTCCATGATTACAGAGTTGTGATACCTCCATGACTACAGAGCATACTACAGCTGAAGGCCCCATCTCAGACAGATCTCTCCACTGACTTTGAGGCAGTAGCTTCATAAAAGGAATTTGAATCAACACCTCTCTTTGACTTTTCTCAGAGCACACAGATCAACCATCAGAGATGTGCTTGTCAGAGCCACAGTGGAACAATGTCCTGAAACTTATGCTTGAATTTATATATGCTGTCAATCTTACTACTTTCAATATAGTTACATATATTCTGAGACATATTCATTCAACATTTTAATGGAAAAGGGAGCATTAACAGGTGACTATAAACACACTATTTTCTTTAAATCCACTGCAGAGATTTAAATCCAGTATAAGAATGTCTTAAAAATACTCCATAAACCTCTCCCCGGAGCCACGAATTTAAAAACAGATAATAACTTCAGCAACTATTATTTTGGGGAAAATTGAGCCATTATTGAAGCTATTGAGGAGGAATATTGGTATGCTACAGTTCAGTTTCTTACACAAAGAAACTGAAAAAGATAATACAAGGCTTTACTACAAGACCACTATAAATGATGATTTTGTCTTGTTTCAGTTCTTTAAATGTATAAGAATTAAATGGATCATTGAAATAAAAAGTTTAGAGAATGGACCAGATGATAAGCTACAATCTCTTAAATTCTATGCCAGTTATCAGTATAGCATATTCATATTGCACTTTAGCATTTTTGTAGTATGAATCTTAATCTTATGTCATCAGTGTTCAAAATCTAGTGATTTTCAACTTGTGGTCCATGGGTCTTCTAAGCATTTGTGAATGATAATAGAAAAAAATAGTACATTATGAACAACATTATAGTAAATTCAGGGCACATCCCTACATTGGGAAAGTTAGGTATCCACAGGGTGAAACAATGTTTTTCAACAAGAGAAAAAAAAAAAAAAAAAAAAAAAAAAGGGTT